TCAGTTCTAGTTCAGTTCTAGTTCAGTTCTAGTTCAGTTCTAGTTCAGTTCTAGTTCAGTTCTAGTTCAGTTCTAGTTCAGTTCTAGTTCAGTTCTAGTTCAGTTCTAGTTCAGTTCTAGTTCAGTTCTAGTTCAGTTCTAGTTCAGTTCTAGTTCAGTTCTAGTTCAGTTTTAGTTCAGTTCTAGTTCAGTTCTAGTTCAGTTCTAGTTCAGTTCTAGTTCAGTTCTAGTTCAGTTCTAGTTCAGTTCTAGTTCAGTTCTAGTTCAGTTCTAGTTCAGTTCTAGTTCAGTTCTAGTTCAGTTCTAGTTCAGTTCTAGTTCAGTTCTAGTTCAGTTCTAGTTCAGTTCTAGTTCAGTTCTAGTTCAGTTCTAGTTCAGTTCTAGTTCAGTTCTAGTTCAGTTCTAGTTCTAGTTCAGTTCTAGTTCAGTTCTAGTTCAGTTCTAGTTCAGTTCTAGTTCAGTTCTAGTTCAGTTCTAGTTCAGTTCTAGTTCAGTTCTAGTTCAGTTCTAGTTCAGTTCTAGTTCAGTTCTAGTTCAGATCAATTCTAGTTCAGTTTTAGTTCAGTTCTAGTTCAGTTCTTTTTCAGTTCTAGTTCAGTTCTTGTTCAGTTCTAGTTCAGTTCTAGTTCAGTTCTAATTCAGTTCTAGTTCAGTTCTAGTTCAGTTCTAGTTCAGTTCTAGTTCAGTTCTAGTTCAGTTCTAGTTCAGTTCTAGTTCAGTTCTAGTTCAGTTCTAGTTCAGTTCTAGTTCAGTTCTAGTTCAGTTCTAGTTCAGTTCTAGTTCAGTTCTAGTTCAGTTCTAGTTCAGTTCGTTCAGTTCTAGTTCAGTTCTAGTTCAGTTTCTTCTAGTTCAGTTCTAGTCCAGTTCACTTCTAGTTCAGTTCTAGTTCAGTTCTAGTTCAGTTCTAGTTCAGTTCTAGTTCAGTTCTAGTTCAGTTCTAGTTCAGTTCTAGTTCAGTTCTAGTTCAGTTCTAGTTCAGTTCTAGTTCAGTTCTAGTTCAGTTTTAGTTCTAGTTCAGTTCTAGTTCAGTTCTAGTTCAGTTCTAGTTCAGTTCTAGTTCAGTTCTAGTTCAGTTCTAGTTCAGTTCTAGTTCAGTTCTAGTTCAGTTCTAGTTCAGTTCTAGTTCAGTTCTAGTTCAGTTCTAGTTCAGTTCTAGTTCAGTTCTAGTTCAGTTCTAGTTCAGTTCTAGTTCAGTTCTAGTTCAGTTCTAGTTTAGTTCTAGTTCAGTTCTAGTTCAGTTCTAGTTCAGTTCTAGTTCAGTTCTAGTTCAGTTCTAGTGCAGTTCTAGTTCAGTTCTAGTTCAGTTCTAGTTCAGTTCTAGTTCAGTTCTAGTTCAGTTCTAGTTCAGTTCTAGTTCAGTTCTAGTTCAGTTCTAGTTCAGTTCTAGTTCAGTTCTAGTTCAGTTCTAGTTCAGTTCTAGTTCAGTTCTAGTTCAGTTCTAGTTCAGTTCTAGTTCAGTTCTAGTTCAGTTCTAGTTCAGTTCTAGTTCAGTTCTAGTTCAGTTCTAGTTCAGTTCTAGTTCAGTTCTAGTTCAGTTCTAGTTCAGTTCTAGTTCAGTTCTAGTTCAGTTCTAGTTCAGTTCTAGTTCAGTTCTAGTTCAGTTCTAGTTCAGTTCTAGTTCAGTTCTAGTTCAGTTCTAGTTCAGTTCTAGTTCAGTTCTAGTTCAGTTCTAGTTCAGTTCTAGTTCAGTTCTAGTTCAGTTCTAGTTCAGTTCTAGTTCAGTTCTAGTTCAGTTCTAGTTCAGTTCTAGTTCAGTTCTAGTTCAGTTCTAGTTCAGTTCTAGTTCAGTTTCTAGTTCAGTTCTAGTTCAGTTCTAGTTCAGTTCTAGTTCAGTTCTAGTTCAGTTCTAGTTCAGTTCTAGTTCAGTTCTAGTTCAGTTCTAGTTCAGTTCTAGTTCAGTTCTAGTTCAGTTCTAGTTCAGTTCTAGTTCAGTTCTAGTTCAGTTCTAGTTCAGTTCTAGTTCAGTTCTAGTTCAGTTCTAGTTCAGTTCTAGTTCAGTTTAGTTCAGTTCTAGTTCAGTTCTAGTTCAGTTCTAGTTCAGTTCTAGTTCAGTTCTAGTTCAGTTCTAGTTCAGTTCTAGTTCAGTTCTAGTTCAGTTCTAGTTCAGTTCTAGTTCAGTTCTAGTTCAGTTCTAGTTCAGTTCTAGTTCAGTTCTAGTACAGTTCTAGTTCAGCTCTAGTTCAGTTCTAGTTCAGTTCTAGTTCAGTTCTAGTTCAGTTCTAGTTCAGTTCTAGTTCAGTTCTAGTTCAGTTCTAGTTCAGTTCTAGTTCAGTTCTAGTTCAGTTCTAGTTCAGTTCTAGTTCAGTTCTAGTTCAGTTCTAGTTCAGTTCTAGTTCAGTTCTAGTTCAGTTCTAGTTCAGTTCTAGTTCAGTTCTAGTTCAGTTCTAGTTCAGTTCTAGTTCAGTTCTAGTTCAGTTCTAGTTCAGTTCTAGTTCAGTTCTAGTTCAGTTCTAGTTCAGTTCTAGTTCAGTTCTAGTTCAGTTCTAGTTCAGTTCTAGTTCAGTTCTAGTTCAGTTCTAGTTCAGTTCTAGTTCAGTTCTAGTTCAGTTTTAGTTCAGTTCTAGTTCAGTTCTAGTTCAGTTCTAGTTCAGTTCTAGTTCAGTTCTAGTTCAGTTCTAGTTCAGTTCTAGTTCAGTTCTAGTTCAGTTCTAGTTCAGTTCTAGTTCAGTTCTAGTTCAGTTCTAGTTCTAGTTCAGTTCTAGTTCAGTTCTAGTTCAGTTCTAGTTCAGTTCTAGTTCAGTTCTAGTTCAGTTCTAGTTCAGTTTAGTTCAGTTCTAGTTCAGTTCTAGTTCAGTTCTTCAGTTCTAGTTCAGTTCTAGTTCAGTTCTAGTTCAGTTCTAGTTCAGTTCTAGTTCAGTTCTAGTTCAGTTTCTAGTTCAGTTCTAGTTCAGTTCTAGTTCAGTTCTAGTTCAGTTCTAGTCAGTTCTAGTTCAGTTCTAGTTCAGTTCAGTAGTTCAGTTCTAGTTCAGTTCTAGTTCAGTTCTAGTTCAGTTCTAGTTCAGTTCAGTTCGTTCTAGTTCAGTTCTAGTTCAGTTCTAGTTCAGTTCTAGTTCAGTTCTAGTTCAGTTCTAGTTCAGTTCTAGTTCAGTTCTAGTTCAGTTCTAGTTCAGTTCTAGTTCAGTTCTAGTTCAGTTCTAGTTCAGTTCTAGTTCAGTTCTAGTTCAGTTCTAGTTCAGTTCTAGTTCAGTCCTAGTTCAGTCCTAGTTCAGTCCTAGTTCAGTTCAGTCCTAGTTCAGTCCTAGTTCAGTCTAGTTCAGTTTTAATTCATATTTATTACATTTTATTAGCTTAAAAATCAAATGATTCCCTTTTTAAGGAGTAATTTGATTAGAAATTAATCTATAATATTTCCATATACAAAATTTGGTAAGGAAATTGCATCAGTTTTTTCAACTACTATCTTCAATGATAAGATTAAAAATGATAACAAATTCGATTGAAATTTTTTTTTAAGGTGAAATATTTTAAAACTGTAGCTAACACACATCGAGTTTCCAACCCAAGAGTGTCCCATTGAACTGTATCAAATGAACATCCTGCTAAACTAAATATCGTGGGAAATTTTGTCTTATAAGCTTTTCATAAATAGTAATGAATACATATGTATACAACGACATTTTTCACTAACCCTTTCTTTAATTAGATTTATCTATAACATTTTTAAACAACTACTCCACTTACTATGTACATACTTGATAGTCCATAAATAGTAATTAAAACTTTTCTATAAATAGTCTTTTAATAAATACAAAGTCATTCATCATAGTTAGTACAACTTTGTAAACAATTTTACTATTACAAATACAAATATAAGAAATAATTGTTAGTATTTTATCAATTACATACAATAAATAGACATCAGGTGTGGAAATTAAGAAGTTAAATTATCGCTAGATAGAAAATGAGATGACTTTAAGCGGTAATATATAAATATATAGGTATATATAGTACATTTCATATAGGTACATATAGTACATTTCATAATTACATATGTATGTATATGCTGAAGAGAATTCATTCTTTTATATATTCATTTGTAACTGATTAATTATAAACGCCATTAATTAACCTGATATTAAAGATCTTATTAAACTATTAATTAGATTATTAATAAAACTATAAATTAGATTATTAATAAAAATATGTATTTAATTGAATATAATTAAGTAATTTTTTTACGCGCAATTTAAAGAGTATGTAAGAATGGACTTTAAACTTGAGTTTGTAAATATTTAACTACAAATTACAAATATAATTAAAGTGTTCATATACATACATGTGATATTAATAATAAATTATAAAATGACCTTTAATTTAAGTAAAAATCTGATTAAATTAAATAGTTTACTAAGGAAAACACCATGAGTTTTAGAAATAGAATATAATAATGAAGAAACACTTTTTTGTATAGAACGAAGGGCAATTTCATTGTCAAAATTGTATTAAAATGATAACAAATTTTATTACTTTTAAATACTTAGAACAAGTCTGTTCCAATTTAGTTAGTTAGTAGTTGTTGTCATTTAAAGTAGAAAGTTTTAAAAAATTGTTGATAAACAATAATCATCGTGTCAATGCAAATTTACTTATTCACACACTCGCACACATATTATTATTGTATTTGTGTCAAATCATTGTGATATGGGAAAAATTTATATTCTATTAAATAAAAGTGCATAATAATGGAAGGATTACACAATTAAATTATAGATTCTTATTGGAAAAAATGAAACTGTTTAAAACCCGCATCCCAGTAGTTTATCAAAATGAAAACATTTTAAAATTTTGATTGATTAAAGATATTTACTTCACTCCACCCACCCACTTTTTGCTGTCATTGTGGTTAAACTAATTTATGCACATTTTATATTCTACGTCGTTTTTTTATTTTATTCAATAAATTTCGTTCATCAAATATTTAGTTATAAATTCTTATTAATCTTGTTGTTTTATTACTATTTTCTGCTGTCGCTACAGCTGCTGCTGAGCTCGTCACTTAC